GTAAAGAATTTTTCTTTATCTGAATTCATACTTATCGGCCAAAATGGCATAAATGTCAATAATTCATTTTAAATACGAAATGGAAATTGAAGACATCAACACAGTGGTTATTTAATGAAATGTGTAAATTTATTGAAATCGGTTGCAGTGGAAACGAGCATGCACGAAAACTTCACTCGCTAATGATATCAAAACTGTGATTAACAAGCGACAAACAACAACAAAAAATTGAAAAGAATTTTACACGAAAAAAACAACAACTACTACAGCGTTGTGCAGCGTCGATAAAGCAATATTAACAATTGTCACGTTTGAAGCTGTAATAAAAATAAAATAAAACAGAGAACGAAAGAAAAAACATCATCAAGGTAATCATAATAATAGGTTGCGAAATTCTAATCGGCTGATTTATCAACATCATCATGACTGGAAAGGGAAAGAAAAATGCAATGAACATTATTTAAAAAAAAAACTAGTAAACAGTTAATAAATTGAAAGTGCACGAAACGTCAAGCGGCAACGCAGCACAACATCAGTGGAAGCAATGAACGAAACTTATACACATTTTGTAATAAAATGCATTTTCATATTGACACACTAAATAACACGGTGCTAGCAAACACACACGCTAACACATAGAACTAGAGAAGAAGCAGAAAAAAACGAAAATAAAAATAAAATCAACATTTCGAAGCCCATAAAAGAAGTGCACGGTACGCGGTGATTATAACAAATTAACGAAAGCATGCAAACCAAACATTAAGTCGATTGTGCATTAGCGGGTGCGAAATCGAATCGAATTACATGCAAAAAAACAATGCAACTACTCACTCATCACAATACTCACACATTTTGCTACTATTTTCATAGCCTGTCAGCTCATCCGCTTACTCTCTTTCTCTCGCTCTCTAAAAAAATATTATAAACTTATTACAAGTGATGAAATGAAATTGAAAGCTTCTGATGCAAAGCAACATTGAATATCGAACAACGAAAAATTACTTTCAGAGATAAAACCAAAATTGTAAAGATAAACATTATCACATCAAATGATTTGAAAGTAGAAATCGAGCAGGTATAGAATGGGAAACATTTGTTGTTCGCTCACAGACAGTGTGACTCTTATTCGTATCGAAATTCTAAATAGTATAATAACATTTTAAAATAATGCGTTCAAATTTATCTGTCATCGCTTATGGCTATTTCAAACACACATATGCCTGCATGAACCGATCGAAGAAAGATACTGAACATGGTAAATTATATGAGTTTGACGATTTTTTAACTCGAAAACACCTTACCGCCTAGACTGTTGCCGCATGCAATGATGCACTGTTAGTCACACAGACATACACGCATCCAGATATTAATCCGATTAACATTGAGATTCATATGCCAAGAGCGAAAGAAAAAATACTCATATTTAAAATGGTGACCAATTTCTTACGTCCCAAGTCATAATTCATGTGTGTTTATTTTTCATTGTCGTTGGCTTCGATGGTGGCGTTAAATCTCTCACGTGTATTACCTTATCAAATGCATAAAATACCGATTTGGTATTGGTATTGGTGTTGTTATTTCTGTCGTTTTTCTCGTTTATTTCACATTAGTCGTGAATTTATAACAGGTTGAATGTACGATATATAAGACATATACATATGTGTATAAAATTCGCTCGCATTATTGTTCAAATAGATTAAAGCGGGTTTGCCAATCCCGGTGCATTTTGAGATATGTGTGTCAAGTAAATGCACACATGCATACATACAGATAGCAAGAGAGAATTAACTGCAGTGCGTGCAATATACAACTGAGCGAAAGAATAAGAATGGCAAAAACTAAATATAATTTATGGATTGTTTACACCTTCAGGAAAGTAAAGCGCATTAGCAAGACTCTTCTTCTTTTTCATTCTCTGCATGCGTTTTTCAATGTCTTGTTCAAATGTTGATTTCATGCCAATTTTTTTGTGTGTTTGTTTGTTTGCTTGTGCCATGCAACGAGCAACAAAACAAACCAACGCTGGGCTACACAGTCTGTGTGTTATGCTTGCAGGCAAAGTCGAAGGTGTAAATTGGTGAAAAGAGGAAAAAACACAATCGTACTATGCAACAAGTCTTAAAGCGCGTGTTCATTTGTCATTCTTTCTGCAAGCATTTTCGATATTTCTTTAAAATCTCCCACTGATTCACTTTGTGCAACGATCCGTTGCTTCATCTAAAGGACACTTTTTGTGTGATATTTCATCAACAAAAAAAAAAGAGAAAAGAACTCAGAGAGAGAAGAAAAAACTATACTATATGCCGTTTTTAAATTACGTTGGCCATTTCAACAACAAAATGCATGTTGGGCGTTGGGCATTGATTTTAGTCTCACACAGCCTGGATATGGAATGTGTTAGCACACAAATATATATGTGCAATTTCAATATATTACTTTTTACGCACACATCGACACTGACTTTTAGCTGTCTTTTATTCTCTGTTTCGCTATTTTCTTCACCACCGTAGTCTATTCCGATCTTTTGTCTACGCATCCTGAGAGTTAATGTGCTCTTTTGGCATCGTATCGATTTTCTGGTAAATTGTCTAGAAATGTGCGCAATTTTTATTCATTTCATCTTGATCTTTTTTTCTTTCGACTGGGTGTCCAATACTCTGCATGTGTGAGGTATTTTCTGGCTGCTTTATTTGTTGGTATTGCCTTTTTTCTTTTTTTTATATGAAATAAAAAAAGTCTTCATCAAGGAGTATGGTTAATTCGTGTACATTCACAAATTTCTCAAAGTCAACACAATGCCATACAGAGAAAAAATCGTATCGTTTTTCTTTACTCATTCGACACGCATATTGTATGATGCATTTTAATTGCCATTGTATCGAAAGTGGGCTTGCTGGTTACAGTACATTTATGTTTACAAACACGTCCTTTCTTATCCTTTGGTGTTCGTTATGCATTCAAATCGGATATATTTTTTTATGGACGATGCACATTTTCATCATTATAACACCTTTGGCATGTGCTGTGATTCTTCAAACACCAATTTATCACAAAATATTTTTTTTTATCGGCACAATTTTTTCGTTGATTTTTCTTCTTTCAAATGTATTCATAACTTGCATTTTTCGTGCAAATATTTCAAATATTCATCATGCTGCACTGAACACAAGATTGAGTGAATTATGTGTTTAACATAAAAAACGATAGGAATAATCCAATTCCTTTACTCTTCCTCAAAAAGAGAAAAAACATTGTGTTCGAAACACCTTTTTTGTGTGCAAGTTCAACGTATTCAAATAAAAAAAAAAAGAAAAAGAAGGAGAGTAGAAATGAAAAAGAGAGAAGAAAAAACGGTCGCTTGCTTTTGGCTGAATCTGTCATTATAAAAATCCAACAGAGTCAGAGACCAATTATTAAAAAGTGTCATGTTAAAAGCTGCAGCAGCATCGCCATGCATTGTACAGACACATTGAACCAACAGCAGCAGTCAACGGCATGAAACGCGAAATAAGTAAACGCATAAACTTAATCGCCATGGGGGTGCTGCTCGTGATATCCATTCTTCAAGCGAGTCTAAACAAATACACAAACCAACTGGCCCAACCGAACAAATGATTCAGTACGCTGTTGCACGAATAAATATAAATGTTTATGCGATTCTATAGAGTCGACGGGTTAAATTACTTTTGCTGTAGCTTTTCGAAAGAAAATGAAAAAAAAAGTGTCCAATGGTATGGATGTGTATGCGTGCACGGTTCACTCGTACAGCCTATTCTTCTTGCTGTGACACAAATTAATAAAGTTAAATAAACATTTAAAACATTGAAGAAAAATGAAAAGAAAAGAATGCCCAGTGAGCGTGAAGGTGAAATGCAAACAACGTAAAGAAAATGCAAACACAAATTATTATTAAATGATAAATACTGCCAATGCAAATGTCTATAAATGAATATAATATACAAGCTACAAATGTTCAAGAGCACCAATAGAATGGTCGATACATGAATAATAAGTAATATTCGATAAGAATCGCGATTTGATCGCGCCGCGCGCACATCATTCTTATCGATTTCATTTCTGGTTTTTTGCTCACGCGCTCACTGATAATAATGCTTGTCGTTTTGTTCAGCATTAGCAACAAAAGAAGCGATTCAAGAAACATATTTTGATCTCCCTTTCTTTCTTTCGACGGCTTGCAATCATAAAATATCGATAAATATGTAAAATGTGGTGATGATAATAATTGTTTGGTGATGGCTTTTTTGCGCTTCGACTCATTCGAATTTGTTCGCTATTAACGTGCTGCTGACCATAATATTCTGAAATTAATTTCAACTCATGTTTTAAATTTTTACATGGAATCAAATTCATTTTTATGACGATTCTTCTTCTCGTTCACTCTGGCGATTTCGTTCTTGCTTTTGTATTATGAAAAGCTGAATGCAAAAAATATTTACAGAAATCGCATATGGTTACGAATGTCATTAAGATAATTAGTATATTGTCAGGTAATTCATTTAATTTGAAGTTTATAGCATTCGTGGAATGTGATTTCCATTTGAAGATAAAATGTTTGATCATTTTTTGTTCGAGAATTACAATATACTTTTTAAAATATGTTCTATTTTGACTTTGCATGAATTTCTCGCATTATTCACATTTTTCGATTCGGCCGCCTCACAAACCTTTGTCATTTTGTAGTTTATGTGATTTTTATATCATTAAAGTAAATCATTTATATGACTAATGAACACTAGATTGATATTTCGACACATTGTTCCATTTGAACAGCTATGTCAGCAAGTCATAAAAACAACCACAAGAATTTCCATCGTCAATGCATATGATTTTTATCTCGAAAGACCAGAAAAACCATTCAATTAAGAAAATATCACATTTCAATGATGTCTATCTGAATACGATTAAGTTTGCTTTTTGTTCACCTTCTTTTCTTCAATATTCGAATAATTTTTCATGTTTCTTCTTTGTTATTTTTGCAGACGAATGTTTCCAACCGTTCGTGTCTCGTTCTCGGGCTTAATGCGACCAGCCAAACCAACCGATTTCTATGCGGTACTCTTGGATATTGTTCCAGTTGATTCGCGTCGTTATCGCTACGCTTATCATCGATCAGCTTGGTTAGTAGCTGGAAAAGCTGATCCACCACCTCCACCACGTCTTCATGCTCATCCAGACACACCGTTCACATTTGAGGCACTCACCAAACAGGTGATCTCCTTCGAAAAGGCTAAACTCACAAATAACGAAATGGATCGAAATGGTCAAGTAAGTAATTCGATTCTATTTTTTTCTCATTTTCTTATTTTAATTTTGAAAAGCATAAAAAAAGGAATTGCGTGAAAAAAATGCACTTCTTAGAAAAATATATTTATGAAAAACTTGTCTTCATATTTAAAAAAAACTCTCCTAGTTAAAATTCTTGTTCCGCTCATTTTTCCACAAATCGTCCATTTCCGTCTCGATTTTTCACACACTCAACTCTATTCTTATATTCTGCCTTTGCTGTACGTTCAATGGCTGTTTTACGAACTGAAGACACAAGTATACAGTCATCGAGGAGAAATATTTTTTTTTGTTGCGTCGGCGCAGTATTATTCGGTCGAACGAATCCATATGCTACCGTTTTATATGTGCCTTGGCATGGCTTCTGCCGTTATTGAATACATTTCACTCATGCAATCCAATTTGCTATTCAACACCAATAACTGAAGTTTCGGCGTGAAAAAGTGCCCTGACACACAATAGTAGCGACATACAGACACTCACACAAAGTGATCCATAGATTCGTACATTGTACATAAACGCATTCGGTATAACATTTTTTTTTGTTATAGTGTGCTCACGTTCATTTTTTCACTCTGAATCCCATTGAGCTTAATTTATGTATTGCTAGCACTAAAATTCGATCACCTACCAAAAACGTATTCAACACAGAACATAACAATATTTCTCGAGTAAAACGCATAAAACAGACATTTAATAGAATTGTAAAATGCAGAAAATTACGAGTATACAAAACAAACAAATGCCATGAATTCAGTTTAGTTCGATTCGACTTTGTTTTGGCTCTTTTTTGGTATAGCAGAGACAATGCGAACCGGATGATTTGTGTTCGATATTTTATTGCGCTTCTACTACACACAAATTGTGTGTGTGTTTTTTTTTGTTTTTGCCCAATGCTCTACAATTGGAAACTGCATTGAGTGCGCGAACATAGTACAGAGCATACACTCATGACAACGTCGACGACGAAGCGTAACCAATCACCGTGGCAAGCATTCCGTGTGTTGGGTTTCCTAGGCGACCGTTGTGTATGGTATTTCAGTGTGTGTTACGTGTTCGAATAATTTATGTACTCGCTTCATATTTTGCTTCGCTTTACTTTTTTTCCATTCTTTTCTTTCGTTGTACGCTTTCCCGCCTGCCTGCGTCTCCCTCTCGGCTTCTATTCGTCCGTACACATTGTATCTTTTCACGAATACACATGCACCGTTCGTCGTGTGCACATTATGTGCCGTACATTATCATTTCACTTTATGGATATTTCGCTTTGTGTGTTACTATGAAGTAAGTACACTGCACACTGATATTATTTCGAATGGAAATACATTCTCGTTCGTACATCGTGCGTATTTCCAAAACTAAACGCGTTTAACAATGATACATATTGGCAATTTGTAATATTTTGTGTGAATATACGATTTGCATTTCGGGGGCGGACAAATCAGTGAATGAATTATTTCCTTCCAAAAATGGCTAACGAAAAATGATGCATTCAAGACTGGAACACTTTTTTAACATTCGTAAATTTCAATCGTTTATTATCTGGAGGAGAAAGAGTAAAAAAAAGAGAGAGAAATTATTCAATTTAAATGCAAACGACGTTTGTTTGCAATTCGAACATATTTCATTGGATTTTCGATCGAAAAACGCATATGTTACTTCCCATACAAATTTGATGTAGAACAAAAAAAATGTGAAGCCCGTAGATGACATATCTAACCATGTGTGTGTATCGTTTGATTACAGGTCGTGTTGAATTCAATGCATAGATATCAGCCGCGCATTCATTTAGTGCAACTAAAATCTGGACAAAAGATACCAACAACACCAGCCGAACTACAAGACTTAAAACACAAAACATTTGTATTTCCGTCAACTGTGTTCACAGCGGTCACAGCATACCAAAATCAATTAATCACCAAATTGAAAATCGATTCGAATCCATTCGCCAAAGGTTTTCGTGACTCCTCAGATTTTGGAAGGTACGAGTAGGTAGTTTTTGAGTTACTTACATTTTGATTCAGTTTTCGTTTTATTTTTGTTTTTGTCAAAAAAGGGAAATCATTTATCAGTAGAAATCAGTGTAATTTCAAAAGTCTAATTTTTTTTCGTTTTTTTTTTTTTGTTTACTCCAACAGAGATCCAATTGATGCGCTATTGCTTGAACAGCATATGAATGCGCCATTCCGACCATATGGTGATAATTCATTGTCACAATTAGTAGCTCAGGATGCGATGGCGTTTGTTGAACGGGCCAAACAGCATTTACAAATGTTTGGCAATAATCCGAATGCAGCAGCAGCGGCGGCTGCCTATCAAGAGTCAATATTACCTCAGTTATACCAACGACAGAATTTAAATATGGGCTTGTGGCAAGGCTTTTGGCCACAGCATATACCACCAAATTTCTTGTCCGGCATTGCTGGTGTATCGCAACCACCAACAGCGCCATCCGGTGTCGTTGTACCGGGCACAGCAAAACCATCTATATCACCAAGCGGTTCACAAACAACAACATCGCCAACACCATCGATTGTTTCGGCCGCTTCAATGGTTGACATGAGAGAAAAATACTTCAAACGATTTAGCCCTTATCAAATACCACAGCCGCATCCTTCATCAAATAGCCCACCAAATTAGTTGTGTTAGTCGAGTTTGAAAGGTTCACATTTTTATTTAATGTTTCGTTTACAGCGAAATTGATGCGACGAAGCGAGAACATTTTCAAAGAAAAATAAAATTGCATTTTTCCTCTCGTTCGTTGAAATTAAATCTCATGCAATGCAAATTTACCTAATAATTTTCAAAAGCTAAAAAAAACTAAACAAGAAAAAAAACAACTATTAGTGTTACATGTATAGTTAAGTTCATAGATCATAGAGACATTATATTTAGATTGAGAATTAAAACAAAAAAAAACACACAATAAAAGAAAAGTAGCAAAAAACAGGCGACTAGCAAAACCCATTGATTTGATTTTAAGTGAGAAAGGCAAATTAATGAAAGATAATCAACTGAATCAACTTTTGTCTTGGTGCAAATCTTTAATATGTTTCATTCATTCAAATTTTCTTTCATTCGTTTCCTTCTTATTCGTGCAGTTTAATCCATAGTTGGTTAGCTCGATTGCCAGGACATACACACACACACACGCACGGCGCATTTTGTGTGTGTGTGTTGTTTGTAAACGATAAGTTTTATGTTCAAATATTTATAGCGTTCTTCTAATTTGTAATTATTTTTTTAAAAAAAAACTAAGATTTATTATTATTTATGTTTTAGTAAAATCTGTGATTTAAATACAACAAAACTAAAAAGTATTTGATTTTCTTTCCTTCTTAATTATGTATTCTGAGTTTATTTTCATTGATCTGTGTAACCTTGAGAATACTTATGTTTATAACATGTCATTTCTTTCTCTTTTTCTGAGTTGTTTTTTTTTCGATTTGGAAATTCTGTAAATAAGAATCCTGTGTACAATTTAATTCGATTCCTTTGATGATTATTAGCTTCATGTTACATTTATTGGCTTTAGGAAAACATTTACGTAGAATGACAAATTCAAATGAAAATAAACATAGAAATTCTGCAGTCTCTTGTGTATAAAATTTAATAAAGAAAACACCGCGTTTCATACGATTTGATGTTCGTGCTTGAATCTTTCATCGTTCATTTTATCAATTTATGTCATATAATCAAAGAAATGAAACACAGCTCTAAAAACCCCAACTGAATGACATAGAATCACTAAATAATACTCAAGTGGAATCATTATTATAATAAAAAATTATTTAAAAAAAAGCGAAACGAAAGCAAAAGAAATAACACTCATTGGATTGTATAGAATTGAATGAGGAGAAAAAGAAATCCATGTATGTAATAACATCCTATAAAATAATAATAATTAATGCAAAATAAAAATATTACATACAAAATACCATTTTAACGTAATCATTTGTTGTTTTCATTGCTTTATTGCGCTCATCACTTCAATTTCAGCAAAATTCTCTGACACATTGAAAAAGGTTTGTTTTTTGTTCGTATTTCAATTCACTAGTTTAAAAAGTACTGTTTTGATTTAAAACGATTTATTTGGTTCTAAAGCGATGCAAGAAGAAAGATAGAAAGTCAACGCTGAATCAAACACAGAAAATGATGCATACAATTTAAAATACACTTGAATAGTGTTCATATTTTCATTATTTATTGCTTATAAACCAGCATCTTGTTTGAGAATGGTTTGAAAAAAAACAGCAATAAAAGTCCAAAGCATATCACATACACCACACAAAAAGCCAGCGAATTATATGAAAGATTTGAAAGACGAAGAAAGAAGGAAGAGAGAAGAGGAAAAAAATAAAACGACAAAGAAAAGATCAGAGCCCACTACGAATAGTGTGAAAAATTTAGGACTTTTTCTTATTGAACAATGACAACAAAACGACCAGACAAAAAGGTAGAAACGGAGCTGTGAAGAAGACAAACTGATTATTATGACTGTTTTGTATCGGTGAAGTGTTTACTTGGTGCGAATGAACGGCGAGAGTGACCAGTGCACACATGCTTTATAAAGATAAGGTGAGCGCGCAAGCAGCACACAAATACGGTGATGCATCACAAAGGCGATAAAATATGAGCCAGCTCATTTCGACAATCCAATAAATTTAATTTTAATATTTGTCGAATATCAATGACCAAACAAAAAAAAATCATTTTTTTTACTTCTTATTTTGTCTCCAATTCTTCGGTATAAATAACATGAGCGGAAAAAGAGAGACATAAGGAGAGAGGGAGAGGGGTAAGCGAAGAAGGATACCAAGAAAACAGAATTGGTCATTTGATGATTGTCAACTCGATCAACCTACAGGCAACAATGCGATACTCGAAAAGGATTTACGATCGCCGCACCACACCGCACCAGCAATATGTATCTCTGATCCGGAGAGACAGAGTGTCGTCAAACAGCGAACCCGAAAACCCGTCTCACATTCCATCGACAATCGATTGTTTATTGGTAATTATTATCACGATTATGTTTTAGTATAATTTGAACGGTGAAGAATAAATTTGGTCGTTGATATCATAAAATAAGTCATAAGCATATCAATAGCGTCTTTTTTATCTTCATATTCTTCAATCGATATCATTTTACTTTGTGTTCGGTTGGATATCTCTAACAATTTATTTGTTTATGTGAATTTCTCAATATGTATTTTTTGTTTATGTGTTGAATGAAATTTTCTTCATTCAATCACTTTGTACAGTGTCGCTTATCGTTTGATAGAGACATTTTCAATGCTCGTTTAAATTTATTTGTCACACCATCCAGATGACCTTACACAGAGGTATGCTTGACGAGCAAAATAAAAATATAACCATTCCAATTGAATCGATTCGAAATGGTGCTCCATTCAAATGTTAATACGATCGTAAAATGTGCTGCTCGTCGAAGAGAAGAAAAAAAAGCGAACTGAAAATATTTTGTAGAAAACAAATATTTTAATGACATAATAATCGAGGAGATTGGCTGGTATGTATATGATACAACAAAATCCCTATTAAAATTGTGCGCAAGATGATCGTTTTGGCTGAGAACTCATGTTGTGATAACGAAATTTGAAATCGAGACGAACAGGAAATGTGGTATGAATATCAAAAATGACAATTTTAAATGAATATTTATGAAGATGATACGGTACAAACAGATTTTTTTTTCTTTCATTTCCAATAGGAGTGTCGACGATCTAACTAACTGTATTACAGTTACATACGGAAAAAAAGTTTGCTTTCACTTAACTCACACCATGGTTCAGTGTCATAGAAAATAATCAGGCACATTAAAATTGAAGCGAATTAAAGCTGTTGAATTGGTTTTACTCTAATGATTATTCACCTGCCGTTTTGTAAGACTCATCGTCATTTCCTTTCGAACATATTTACAAATAAAAAAAAATTGTCTTCAACTACTATTTTTTATGAAATCAGTCTTGGTCGTTTCTCTACCGCAGACACACTGCGCCACTTCTTTTTCAGTCATTGTTTTTTTTCGAGTGCATTTTTCATTTGTCATTAATTTCAATTAACATTTTGACAAATTGCCCGAAATTAGTTAGCTAAACACACACTCGAAAAACACACGCAGTCTCAAAACAAATAGATAGAGATGATGGAAAGAAATACGCTACTTGCACCCTTTAATCTCTTGACAGCATTCAAATGCGTATAATCAAGCGAGAAAGTTGAAACGAAAAGCAAATGCAATATGAATTTCCTTCTCTTTACACTTTAATTTTACCTAATTATTCAAAGGTAAACCATTCCAAGTATAATGGATTGGATGGTGAGCTAAGCATGAATGTACATTGCACACAGTAGGTTCATTTTTCGACATGGAATATAAATATATTTATTTGGTGTATATTTTGTAAATATTTACGCACAATAACGCCAAATATATTTCGAATAAATGAAAGAATGAAAAATCGGTTAATTCTGTTAAGCAATCGCCTACTGTTAGGTATTTCGTTAATAATACGCGGTTAAGTATCCGGCATGCGATGGTTACATGTCTGGTCGTTGAGCCGTTAGCCACCAACTGTGTTTGACGCATTTATCAACCAAATAAACTGAAAGAAAGACAGAGAAAAAAGCCAAACTATTGACAACAACAACAATGATATCGACCAAAAAACCAGTGGATTCGTATGATTCCCGATGATTTTTCATTCCTCATAAATTCATATTCAACTTTTGTTTGATTTAACTGCTTAAGACGGACAGCAACACATATACACACACTAAAACACACACGCAATTTTTTTTCACTTCTATACCCGCACACCGTTCTTCTATTTTCGAGGAACCTGAATCACGTAATAAAATCTGACAAATAAACAACATCGGTTATCAGATGCCATCAGCCGATCTCTACTCAGAATCATAATAATGATGATTAAGCTATGCCACAGTGCAGCAAAATATTGATACATTCGACGACTTATGGTGATATCATGTCTGGCCTTACACACACTCTCTCTCTCTTCCTCTGTATCTCTCTCCGTCTCTGACTCACACAGTACTCAGTAATATCATTGTATATTAGTCAGTCGACATATGCATGTCTATTTACAAAATAAATCGTATTTCGGCGGTGAGTTTTAAATTATGCAAGAAAACCTATTAAAATTAAGAAAGTGTTTTAACATGGTATTTTTAAGAATTATGTGCGAGTAAAATTCCTTATGATGGTTAAATTCCATGTAATTGTTGTTTATTTAATGCTCTTTCTCTACATGCAGACAACGATTTATTTCGTAGATTTCTTTTCCGAGCGTTCTACTCCGTAATGAAACTGAACGGTTCATATAGAAATGTGATCTAATTGGCTTTTCATTGGGTTTTGATTTCAATTCAGAAATCGGGTGGTAAATTGATGCTAAAATAAATTATGACTTTAACGAACATCGAATGAAAATCAAATTCAGTCATGCGTGTACCTGAATTTTACATCTTCCAAATTTGAAGTTAAAAAAAAAATCACAAAAATGTTGGAAAATTCGTCTCTTTTTTCAACGGTTAAACATCCTCCTTCAAAAAGAGGACAAAAAATACCACACACATTCATCGTTGCAATGTGACAAAGGCAGGCAGTAAGCCAGCAGTCAACACCAATAACATATGTTGTTGGTGTAGTGTTTATCAGTGCGCAAACGAGATCATTAGGAAGTAAAGTGGCACTTTGTAAACTTTCACTTTTTCGAAAGGAACATCGTAATTGGTTGTAGTGATATATATGCTCGTTTTTTGCTGGTGCGGGTGGTCTAAGCTTATTACTTTCATTGTTTTTTTTTTTTCATTTAAATTAGATATTCTCGTTGTACAGTGACAAATTCTTCCATCTGAAAGATGCTGCAACATATATACTTTCCCAACATGGAAATGTAAATAAACAAGGGAAAATCTCTCTCTTTCTCGATAAAATATGTTTCGGAATCGGAATGTAAGTTGAAATGTTCCATGTGTCAAAATCCCGTTTTTGTTTCGTTTTGGTTATCGTTTCCCTTGTTACCATTTGGTGCGTGCAGAGTAGAAAGGAAATCGATAAGTCGTTTCGAATTTCACACCATCTCCCGAACGGTAGTTTTGCGCTATCGTACTGAACATGAAAATAAATGGGAATTTGGTGTGAAATTTTGTGTCCCATATAAAAGAAAATGTCATGTTGATCGTATTTCGGTTTGTACGAAAGTGAATGTCAATGTGACTGTTGGATAGGCCACACACATATTATGTTGTTATTTCGCGAAAACATAAAACACGCGTTGACATGAAACAACCGTATATCACACAAATGTCATCATTTCAAATTCAATGTCTTTCGTTTCATATGCATCACTGTTACAATGCTCTAGAAGAAGGCGTTTCTTCACGTTAATTAAACGGTTTTAAAAAGTCATCCAACGATTAACATCATCTTCTTTTTTAAACCAATAATTCATTTGAATGGATATTGTTAATTAAAAAAATTTCGAAATCAATAAAGTTTCTTCTTTCAAAATCATTATATTTTCATTTGTTCTCAAAGAAAAAGTCATGTGTTTGCAAAAAAATACATATCGACAAATGATTTCCCATTGATTGTGTTTTAACATGTTATTTCAACCAAAAACGCCTGTCACAAAGTACAATACAATTAAATTTATTGTGATAAAATCTCAAAGGCAAACAAGTGTCAAAAAATTAGCCTAATTCATCGTTTCCGTATTAAATTCGCCCCCTTCGTAACACTCAACATCATCATCATCATTGGTGGCAGCAATAGCGGAATAGAATTTATTTCGAGAGTGCCGGTCGTGAAAATAGCATCGTTTACCG